AAATGTTTCTTGTGAAAACAAAAACGTTTTTGTTTAAAACAAAAACATTTTTGACTAAAACAGTTTTGCTCTTTCTGTGTGCGGCCACCCTTAGTTCAATTGGTAGATTAGTCAACTTTAATTGAAAATTGTCGTACTATAACCCGGGCAGCGTTTGGTAAATTAAACTATGTATTTAAATCAGATCTGAGGTGGAAATACAGATTCCCTATAGGGGAATAAAGGAGTAGAATGCGAATATATGGAGTTGATTCCAGTTTACTCCAATTAGTCTCTTCTACTCAAATCCGACTCTCACCTTCACGATGGTGTCCCCTGTTAACCGAGCAACCGAGATCTGGTATCCAACCCCGGATGGAAAGTTGGGTCGAGAACTGACGAGAGCGGGTTGAAATGGCCCTCCAAAAAGGGGGTTTGGCGTTGGGTTAACTACCCAACCCTGTAAAAAAGTCATAGTTACGAAATCTAAAGTTAAAATGCTGGACGAAAATCTCGACGACGACCTATGCAACGAAAATAAGGACAACAATCTAAAGTATTTACCTGGAATGTTCGCACACTCAACGAACCTGGAAACATCCGAAAACTGTGTGACATATTAGCACGATATAACGCTGATATTACTGCAATACAAGAAGTACGATGGATAGGCCATGGCATAATCGAAAAAACAAACTACAATATATATTACAGTTGCCATAGAACTAGACATGAATTTGGGACAGCCTTTATAGTCAGTAATATAGTCAAGTACTTGGTTATAGATTTAAAGCCAATAAATCCACGAATGAGCTGCTTAAGGATCAGGGGTAAGTTTTTTAATATTAGTCTTATTAATGTACATGCCCCAACAGAGGACAAGGAAGATGAAGAAAAGGACAATTTCTATGAGGAATTAGAAAGAACATATGACAGTTGTCCCAGAAATGACATTAAAATAGTAATCGGTGATCTGAACGCAAAAATCGGAAGGAAAAATATATCTACCGCACATCGGTAGATATAGCCTCCATAATGATACCAATTCGAATGCTCGACACCGAGCAGTCACCTTCGCAGTCGCAAAGAACATGAATCATAGGAAGCACATGTTTTCTACACAAAAAAATACATATGTCGACTTGGACCTTACCTGATGGACTAACGAACAACCAAATTGATCATGTGATCATAGATGCTAGACACTACTCAAACATAATGGATGTCCGCACCTATCGAGGCGCCAATATTGATTCAGATCACTTCCTAGTTGGCACACGAATTCGAGCTAGAATCTCAAATGCGAAGAAGGAGAGAAGTACCAAAACAACGCGTCCCAATATTGAACTCCTCAAAAATCTGCAAACAGTAGAAAGGTTTCAAAACTATATCGAAAACTAAACACATAATTCGTGAGGACCTAACAATTAGTGAACAATGGGAAATGTTCAAAAATAATATTATAGATGCAGCAAATAATATTCTAGGGCCAGAAAGACCACCACCACGTAATGACTGGTTTGAATGCTGAATGTGAGGACATTACAAGAAGAAGAACGATGCATATAAACTGATGCAGCAAAGAAGAACCCGAGAAAAACAGCAAAAATATAAAGATCTCAGAAAAGAAGAGAAGTGCATTCATAGAAGAAAAAAGCGAACTCACGAAAATAGAATATTGGAAGAACTTGAGGTATTAAAAAAAGGAAAACCAAACAAGAAAATTCTACAAAACTCTGAATAATGCAAGAAAGGAATTCAACCAAGGCTCAGACTATGTAAGATAAGGAGGGGCATATACTAAATACAAAAAAAAAGTACTGAAAAGATGGGTGAACACTTTAAAGAACTACTTACTATAGAAGTAGAAGATCCAGATCCAAATCAACCAACCGCAGGAGCAAGCAACAATTCACCATTAGAGCCCCGTCAATTCAAAAAGTACGAGATGCAATAAAACACCTAAAAAACAATAAATCTCCAGGAAGTGATGGTATACCCGCGGAACTTATTAAATGTGGAGGTGCTACTGTGACTAATCAAATATATAAAATAATACTGAGAGCCTGGAATGAGAACAAATCCTGAAAGAGTGGTGTATTGGAATCGTTTGCCCGCTACACAAAAAGGGTGACCAATTGGAATGTAGAAACTATAGGGGAATAACCCTCCTTAATACAGCATACAAAATATTTTCGAGGATCTTATATGATCGCCTAAGTGCATATTCAGAGGAACTTCTCGGGGAATATCAAAGTGGCTTTAGGCCTGGTCGATCAACAACAGATCAGATTTTTGTGCTAAGGCAAATACTGGAAAAATCCAATGAATTCAATATCGATACATACCATCTTTTTGTAGACTTCAAATCTGCCTATGATAGTGCCTAAGAAATAAA